AAAGAAGGGTTTGCAAGTCGTAGCGCAATTCCATGCTGGCTTGCAAGTTTGCAAGAGTCACAATTTCATTCAGTCGGAATTCATTTGTGGCTGGTTTCATCAACCCAGGCCAGTATCCTAAGTTGTGCGAAAAGAATCGCAAAAACGTTCCAGAGAAACGGCTGCTCATGACATCCGCCACTTTCAAATGTTCCCTCGTGGAAAAGACGCACAGTGCGGTCAGGATATCTAGACAGTGAGAACAGAAACTATTGTTAGATTCTGTCACTGTAGCGTTTCCCAAGTTGTCGAGGCTTATGGTGGTATAATTCAACTGCCTTTCAAATGACAAAGCAAGTCTTCCAAACACATCCGAAAGTGAGACATAAATGTGGCCGTCAGCACTAGAAACTGTTGTCAGTTTACAAGAGGTTGAATTGACACACTTGGTGTTCCTGTGACTTACCTTGCAGACTTGGCGAAAAGCTTCTCGGACAACCTGGTGACTAGATATGGTTTGGTGACCCTGTTTACCTGCCACCTTAAAAAGAACATTCCTTAAAGAATTTCGAACCTGTGCTTCTGTGAAGTGGTGGTGTGAATTCGTTTTTAGGTAGTCCAGAACATATGACAAACTAAGTGGAGACGAATCTGCATAGCCAATACAAGTAATATCTCGCATTACGGGATCACTTTGCGCAGACTGATTCACTGCTTTGAGAACAGCCGTGTACATGGCTACTGCGTACTTCGAAACATCGCTCTCTCGCCATTCAATGTCCTCTTCCATTCCAAGCAAATGAATGTCCCGTTCGAACTCAGAAATGTAATCTGAGTAGGAATATTCAGCGTATTTCGGTGGGCCCTCTCGCACACTATCGATGTATATGGCTGCTGTTGCGAGCGCAAGAGGCTGCCTCCCGAGTATAGTTGCCAGTTCTTCAGCTGCTTGGCGCTCACTGTCCTTGCTTAATCCTGATATCAATTTAAGTAGTTCCACGGAATCAGCAATTGACATGCCTTCGTATAAATCCTGCACTTGCACATAAGGACTCACTCTTTCCAAAGCCGAAACGCGTTTTTGTAGAGTTACTATTACCACGAAAGTCGTGAAATGTTCACTTCCTGGTTCAAGGTTCAAGTAGCTAAACAACGGCTTCAGATCTCGCACGTTATCAAAAATCAAGACAGGCCTACTTTTTCGCTGTTTGAAAAGTTCGCCAAGTTTTGCGTATAGAACTTTAAGTTTCATTTCAGTTTTTAAAATGTTACCTTCGCTTGGAAACAAATCCCCAAATCTTAAGTTTAATTCTTCTTTGATTTGCTTAATACCGTCGGATTTTTGTGCAGAGCCGTTGCAAAGGGCAAAAATTGAATCTACGAGGCTTGACATAATTGAAGTCTCACTGAAAGCATCGATTGTTATGACGTCGACTGGTTGTTCGTTTTGCTTTAGCGAGTCATATAAACGAACCCCAACTTGTCTGGCGAGCTCCGATTTCCCCGAGCCTGGTCCGCCAATCAAATACATGTGAATCTGTTTTCCATCGTGTTCCTTAGACATTGCTTTTATCCGTGTTGTCACGTTTAAAATCTCTTCTTCACGCCATATCCAACGGTGCCTTGGAGGCCATGAAACCTCGTTAAAATACACGCTTGGCAAGTCAGCTGTAAAACGTTTCTGCCTGAAAACAGTTACTGCATTAATGATTGTGATGCGAAAGCTCCATAACGCATAAAATATCAATATTGCCGCGATAATGATAAAAGCAACAGTCTCATTGTAACTCTTAAACGGTTCCAAGATGATCTTTAACCAAGGAAAGTATTTTTCGACCAAATTCCACAGTATGCGGCGAATTTTCTCTTTGTTGTCACGGTCGCTTCGTAGCGCTGATGGTTTAGGATTGACTGATGTCTTTGATTTCGCTTTCGTTTGTCTCCTTTTAACACCTGTGGATGTCCCTGGTCCAGTTTGTATAGAAGCTCGGCCGCTTGATCGAGTATTACGAGCTGTTTGACTTCTGGTCGAGGGCATGGTTACTGTGTTTTGTATGGCCGTCCGTGTTCAATAAAGAAGTTAATGGCAAAAACGTTATTCTACAAGACTCACTGGATCTCCTTCGGTGTACTTTTGAATTGAGGCCTAGTATACAGAGAAAGAGAGATACTTTATCAACTGCATGGGACCTTACTGCTAGTTGTCTAGTAATGTATACTTCCGCAATTAACGTGAAGCCGCCATGCCTTCCCTGAGCACAGGACCCAGGATAATATGGCAATTTTCTGGGTCACGCGATGAGATGGTGTTACTCTTTTGACGTCACCAATTTTCAATTAGTCACGCAACGGGCTAACGACTGGGAGACCTGGTAATGAGCACATTTTCCTTCTTCCCTTACGGGAGGAAATGTTCTTTTAGTATCGCTTATTCACTGTTGCATTCTTGGTGTTTCGGTGCTAATTAGTCGCTCAATATATCCAACTGGATGCAAAGAACGCCCTCATCGCAGGTAGGTCATGAAAGTTGACATTGTATGCGTAAAATATGACACTTGATCGAAGTTCAGTTTGATTTCATTTTATCAACTGTCCGCATAACTCATTACACAGTGGTTTTAAGGTTACGTTAAGGAAAAGTTCAGTAGGAAAGATTTATTTAAAGAACTTCCTCTTGGAGTTGTGACTTTGCTTTCGTTCTGTTCAATGCTATGATGCCCATGGCACATAGCTGCAAGTAAACGAACCGTTCAGTTGTGGAACTTAATCGATCGAGTTAATGTAAGGTAAGGTAAGGTAATCGAACGCCATCGAACCCAAAAAAACTCTACGAGAGTTTCATTAAGATTGATTTCCGAAACTAGTCAAAGTGAATCAAGCCCAGCAAGGTCTGTCTCAGCATGGATCATTTAGCAGCTCTGGTAAGGGCTCCCATGAGTGGCTCGATACTCCTCAAGGGAACAACAGAACAAACAACAGAAACATTGCCCCAAGCCCCAAAACAGTAATAGCTGCTACAATAATGAAACATTAGCAGCTCACGAGAGCTGCTAACACTTGTGCTTCGCATGCAAGAGGAAGTTTTAGTAAGGTTGATTTAAACAGACTATCATACCTCCACTGAAATTCTATTATGATCTCCTCATCAGTATAAGTCAAAATTTTCTTGCAGTTTGATCGGTTCTTACTTATGATCAATTTCGGGCGTAGACCA